TCTGATGAAGGGTCTAGGCCTGAAACGTCAGCCTTTCTGCTCGGCCTGCTGTGTTCATCCAGCCCTGCACCTTGTTGTCTAGGTGTGGACTTTACACTGGATTGAAGGTAACATGGCAGACAGACTGAGATGGATATCATTCCTTGCTTCATTTTACTTTTATAGTTTTCCTTTGTGCCCTCCTCCTCCTCTCATCTAGTGAATCATAACTACTCTGCTGGGCACCCTTTAGTACTGTCTAACTGGCTTTTTCCTTTGCTTCACAGCCTGGAGGTGCTGATGCCCAAAAACCAACTCAGACAAGCAATATTGATGAAAACACCCAAAAGGGTAATTTGTTATTGGCATCCTTTAATGGAGTGTGTTTGAAACATGCTGAGGGTTATCCTGTTGAATAGCCAGCTAACACTTAATGTTGAGGCATACCCCTAAATCATGGTCACTTGGATGAGACATTGGAGAGCAACCAGGACCAGTGCAATCGATAGTCTTGCAAGTTGTCCACAGTTATCACCTATTCTGAATAGTAGCCTTCAAAGGAAATTTGATAAATACTTGATGAACAAAAGAAGTTAGAGATATGGGACAAGAGCAGAAGAATGGGATTAACCTGAATATGCTGGAAAATAAAGCTACCAAAGACTTGATGAACTAGTTGCCCTCTCCTGTATTGTGCTACGATTCTAAAATTCCAAGACAGGCTATACAGGTACTAAGCCACTTGTTAACAGATCTCTATTTGGAGATCTAATAGAATGACATGTTGAAGTGAAATTAGTTAAATACCTTTTCCAAAAGACAGCTCCTCTGATAATGCAGTACGATCTCACAAATGCACTTGAACAATCAACCTAAGACAAAATTCTGTGTCAAAATCATGTAAAACATTTATCACAGTGCATGTGTTTCTGGTATTTGGTGTTTTGCTTTAGGAATAACATCAAGGCCAATGAAAATATAGAAAGACATTTATTAAGATGGTGTCAGGTATGAGACTTTGCTTACTATTAGAATTTTTGGTAAAGGAAAGATACTTCGTGATCAGTGAATGCCTGAATTCAAACTCAGAAGATCATTGATTGGCTAGGCTTAGAGTTTGCTTGGATACTCAATGACTTATCAGAAACCATATTGGAAACAGAGTCCATAACGAGTTTTGAGAGAAGTGAACAATTGTTTTCTGGTTGACATCCTGTCTTCTAACTTGCCCTCAAGAGTTAAAACACATCCTTGAGATCCAAAAGGGAGGCTTGATCCTTTGACCATCATTTCCATGAAAGCAACAAACACTCAGTTTCTCTCCTTATTTCAGTTGCCATCATCAACTGACACCCCCACGCACACAATGGATAAACATTCTAAATCACAATGTCTAGTAAAGTATCAACCCATCCCCAACCTCCCCTTTCTTTCCAAATCCTTTGAATTTTTCTAGTCAGACTCCCACCTCTACCACAGTATTGAAGCAAGTCTCATTAGAGTCACCAGTTTCATCCTCAGTGACTGTGACAATGATGCATTATTCCAATAGGTCCTTCCTATCATCTTTGACACGATAGACCATATCTCTTGTATTTGAAACTCAGTGGGACTAATTTTGTTTTGTTCCATTTTTACCTGCCCATTGGTTGCCTTCAGCTGCAGCTTCTCTATCTGTTAGACCAGAAGTCAATGGAAATATGTAGATACCGTTTTCTTAATCCACATGGTGCCCTTTGGTGAATCATCAGAATGCATGGAGTCAGTTGCCATTTGTATTTTAACAATGACGATTCTTATGTTTTCATCAGCTGCCTTGATGTTGTCAGACAGCTTGCCCAACGTCCAATTTTGACTGAACTATAGCATCCTTCAGCTAAGCATTGGGAAGACAGTAGCCATTGTGTGTGACCCTGCTATGTACAGGAAACTGTTTGCACAGATTTTGGTCCTCTTCCCAGGTTGAGCTATATTGACCAAAGCCAATTTGATCTCAAGCTGACTTGTTAACCCTCCTCCTCTCCACCTGATATTGCTTGCCTCCATCCCTGCCTCAACCCATCTGCTGCTAAAATTCTCATCTATGCTTTTGTTATCTCTGACTACTCCAATATGCCCCATCTCACATCAATAAATTTATGATTATCAAAACACTGCTGAACTCTGAAGTTCTATTTACCAGATGAAACATTAAACTGCTCTATGGTGCCCTCTCAGGTGAAGATGAAAGTTTCTATGGCACTATTTTGTAAAATAACAGAAAATTTCTTCAATTCCCTGGAAAATATTTATCCCTCAAATCAACGCCATTAGAGCAGATTGTTATCGCATTACTTTTGCAGGAACTTGCTTTGTGCACTTGGCTTCTGTGTTTCCTATGTCACAGAATTGCAACACAGACTATAGTTCAAAAGAACATCATTGACAATAAAGCAGTTTGGCAAGTGGAGATCAGGAAAGATGCATGTCATTTTTCTCTAATGCCTTCAATTTAACATATTTGTCCTAATGTTTACATCTGTCCCTTCATGGCCATGTTATATTGATGTTGATCATGGGTCAGTCCTTCCAGCAGTTGTTGGCTCCTGTCATGGCATGTGAGATTTTAAAGACTTTCCGATCCCTCAATCTGATGATGTAGTCAAGGAGGTGCCGGTGTTTGGAGTGTGGGTGCTGCCACGTCTTGTATTTGTCCCTTTGGTGGAAGGGTGCTGGAAAAAGTTCAGCATTGAAGCACTTAAAGACCCAGAAAAAATAGCCTCATACAACAAACCTGTCTCCACAAACTTAGCAACCCTCAGAGTTGCAGGATCCCAACAGTCTCTGGTCCATCTTTAAGACCCAATCATCAATGCCTGCAACAAAAAAAAAAAAAAAAAAAAATTAAAAAACCACTCAACTAGGAAACTCCAAGACTGATTTGATGAGAATGATCATGAGATCCAGGAACTATTAAGCTGGAAGCACAAGGCATTTGAGGCATAAAACAACAACCACACTTGGAAGAGAAAAACCAGCCCTACAGGAGACTGAAGGCAGAGGTACAAAAACAAACTGGTGACAAAGAACAGGTGGTAGATGGAGAAAGCACTGGAGACCTAACAAATGGCTGACAACCATGACATACATGGCTTCTTCTCTGCTGTCAAGACTACACATGAACCAAATACCCAAGGCCCCACACCACTGCTGGCCAAGCACAGAATGACTCTTAAAGATAAAGAAACCATCAAAAACACATGGGGGTGCACTTTAGAGACCTCCTCAACCAGGGCTCTGTCGTTGATCCGAGTGTTCTTCAACACATCCCACAGCATACTTTGTGCCATGAGCTGAGCAACACACCAGCTTTGCATGAAATTGAGAAGGCCATCCAGCAGCTTAAGAACAACAAGGCTGTTGGTGCAGATGGTTTTCCTGCTCCACAGAGGCATTGAAGAGTCGAGGCAAAGAGCCCCTGCTGCAGCTACACACCAAAATCTGCTTTACCTGGAAGGAGGAGAGCATCTAGGGAAAGCTCCAAGATGCCATAGTCATGAGTATTTTCAAAAAAAAAAGAGGGAACAAGTCTGACTGTGGCAACTACAGGGGAATCTCCCTGCTATCGACCATTAGAAAATTAAATGCCAAGGTCCTCCTCAACCATCTCTTCTGCGTGGCTGTGGAACTCCATCCAGAGTCTGTGGCTACTGGCCATGGAGGGGCACAGTGGACATAGAAAATGGGTGCAGGAGTAGGCTATTCAGCCCTTCAAACCTGCAGCACCATTCAGTATGATCATGGCTGATCATGCAATCTCAGTATCTCATTCCCACCCTCTGTGCCCCTTGATCCCTTTAACTGCAAAGGTCATGTCCAACTCCCTCTTAAATATACCTAATGAGTTGGCCCCAACAGCTTCTTGTGGGAGAGAATTCCATAGGTTTACAAATCGGAGTGAAGAAGTTGTTCTTCATTTCACTGCTGAATGGCTGACCTGTTATTCTTAGACTGTGACCCCTTGTTCTGGGCTCCCCAACATTGGGAACATTCTTCCCTCATCTAGCCTGTCTAGTCCTGTTGTTATAAGGCAAAGGTCGACCGTCCCCCTTCTGATAACTAAAACAGAAACACCCCGAGAGGCTTGCCTCACTATATAATCTGTTAAAGGAAGTGTGAAAGGTGGTATAACCTGCCTCTCACCCCCAATCTGTTATAAACGCTAAATGAAATAAACTCCTGACACTCTAATCAAAAAGTAACAATTTATTCATCTAATTTAACAGTGAACAAATTAACTGAACTATAAACAAACCAAACAATTCCCTTCCCTATACCAACTATTCCCAAGTAAAATAAGATTCTAATAGCATGCTATTCCAATAAATACATGTCTCATTTATATAAACAAAAAATTAGAACTTAGTCTCTTGAAATTATAGCCAGGTTACATCTTCTGGAATGTTCTGTCCCTTCACCATTGACCTTCTGTCAGGAATGTTTTCTCAGCTAATATTCCAAACAGAAGAATTCAAAGAGTGCTGCAGTACCTTTATTAATTAGATGATGCTTTTGCTGAGAGAACTGATCTCTTACCAGATGGCAGTTGGTTCTGAGGATTTTGCAACTGTCCTGTCTTTTATACCCTTCGTGACATATCAGTTTCTTACGACAGGATTGGTCCCATGTTGTCAAAACCATCAGATTTAAATTTAACTGGCTGTTCGTATCTAAGTGCCTGGTTTAAATTGATTGACTAAATTCAGATTTATTGTCTCGATTAAAAATGCTGCTTTGCCTGCTAATAGTATAGCCTTTTGATACAAATGCTACAATTCAGATGCTTGGTGCACCTGCAAACCCACAAGTTGACTAACTGCCTTTTTTCTTCTCTCCAAGCCTCCTCATCTTTTAAAGGGACCACACACTGCTTTCCCCCCTCCTATCATTTTACAAACATTAATATTTTAAAAACACCAAATTCTAACGTCCTGCCTTCCAATCCACAAGTACTCTGCCCAACTTTGCAACACCGTCAGGATTTTATACGTTTCTATGAGATCTCCCCTCATTCTAAATTCCAGGAGAATACAAGCCCAGTCAATCCAGTTTTTCCTAATATGTCAGCCCTGCCATCCCGGGGATCAGTCCGGTGAACCTTTGCTGAACTCCCTCAATAGCAAGAATGTTCTTCCTCAGACTAGGAGACCAAAACTGCAAACAGTACTCCAGGTTTGGCCTCACCAAGGCAATGTATAACTGCAGCAAGACATCCTTACTCATACCTCAAATCCTCTCACTATGAAGGCCAGCATGCCATTAGCTTTCCTCACTGCCTGCTGCAGCTGCGTGCCAACCTTCAGTGATTGTTACCAAGTTTGCAGATGACACCAAGATTGGTGGTATAGTGGATAGTGAAGAAGGTTATCGAAGATTACAAAGAGATCTTGATCAAATGGGTCAATGGGCTGAAGAGTGGAAAATGGAGTTTAATTTACATAAATGTGATGTTTTACATTTCAGTAAAACAAACAAAGACAAGACAAGACTGATACAATTAGAAGTAGGGCCTTGGGCAGTCTTGTATAACGGAGAGACCTAGGCATTCAGGTACATAGTTCTTTAGAGTTTAATTCACGTATAGATTGGGTGGGTAAGAAGGCATTTAGAATGCTTCCCTTCATTGCTCAGACCTTGGAGTGTAGGAATTGCGACCTTACATTAAGGTTGTACAGGACATTGGTGAGGCCTTTTCTGGAGTATTGCATCTGGTCTCCGGTTATTGAAAGGATATTATTAAGCTAGAGAGGGTTCAAAAGTGATTTACCAGGATGTTGCTGGGAATGGAGGATTTGAGTTATAAAGAAAAGCTCGCTATGCTGGGACTTTTTTCATTGGAGTGTAGGAGGTCAAGAGGTGATCTTATAGAGGTTTATAAAATAATGAGGGGTATAGATAAGGTGATTGGCAGGCATCTTTTCCCTAGGATGGGAGATTTAAGGCAAGAGGACATATTTTTAAACTGAGAGGTGAAAGATTTAAAGACGACATGAGGGGCAATATTTGTGTGTGGAATGAACTTGGAGAGGAAATGGTGGATGTGGATACAGTTACAACAAGTAAAAGACATTTAGATAAGTACATGAATAAGAAAATGTTTGGAGGGATAAGGGCCAAGTGTGGGCAGTTTAGTTTGGGATTATGATTGGCATGGACTGGTTGGCCAAAGGGTCTGTTTCTGTGCTCAATGACTCATGACCCTCATGACTGTTCCACCATAACACCCAGGTCTTGTTGCACCTCATTTTCCTAAACTGCCACTATTCAGGTAATCTGCCTTCCTGTTTTTGTGGCCAAAATAGATAACCTCACATTTATCCACATTATGTTGCATTTACCAAGTATCTGCACAATCAGCCAGTCTGTCCACATCACCTTGCAGCCTCTTAGATCCTCCTCACAGCACACACTGCCATCTGTTTTCGTGTCATCTGCAATTTTGGAGATATGGCATTTGATTCCTTTGTCCAAGTCATTAATATATAATTGACCAGCTGAGGTACCAGCACTGGATGCTGCGGCACCAGCACTGGATGCTGCGGCACCAGCACTGGATGCTGCGGCACC